TTCAGAAACTTGCTGTCGTGCAAATGTGATGTGAGAAATGCATCAAAAAGCGACTAAAAAACCCTGCAAAATCAACTGCATCCTATTGCTGCCCTCTAGTGGTGGTAGTTCAACGTGTTTTCTGTGAAACTTCACAAGAAAATCGTTTCTAAGAGCTCACTGATGTTGTTGTTCTGGCAAATATTTCCACTCATGTCATCTTCAGTGTTGGCCAAACATAAATCTACATAGTTCAAAGGTGAGAAGAACAAAAATCTGCAGGAAAATATGACCTAAAAACCTAATGACCCACCTAAAAGACTGAAACAAACAGAAAAATTAATGAATAGATCGTTCAGGCTAGAAGAGATAATTTATGGGAAAATATGACTATCTTTGCTACTTTTTGCAAGGACTGCACATATTTGCACAAACCTACTTTAGTTAAAATAACCTCTTCAGTAAATGGCTGGGAATTTGGAATAGTATGTTGGAAATAAATCAGTTATGCATGATAACAAAAAAAATGACTATGGTCATAAGACTGGAAGTGAGTGTAATTAGTAGTTATGAAATAAAAAGGTTACAGAAAGATCAGCGCAAAACACTGTCCCCTGGTAGACAGAAATAACCTGAGACATATATTATAGAACATTAAAGAATAGACAGCACCCGCCTGAACTGACAAAGAGTGCGTTTCTCATAGAAGTACAAAAAAAAGCAATTTTTACTCCAAAGAGCGTGTAAGGATACACAGCTCAAGTGGGAGAATGAGTTGACCGTAAAACTATTAGTCAGACACTCCGCAAATCCAGAGTGGAGAGAGAGAATGAGAAGAAGGGCGGAGCTAAAAACAGGACAACTCTGGAAGAAAACCTGTTAGAGGCAGCTAAACTTATGACTGGGACAGAGGTTCACCTTACACTGAGTCAGCAACCCGTTACATACAACAGGCAAGTGGCCCAGTCAAACTTTAAACCCTAATCTTATTGAATATGTGACTAAAAGAATAAAAAAAAATGCTCTTCAAAGATACCACTTAACATGAGCTGTTAAGTAACGAACAAATAGAAACATTTCAGCTGTTTAGATCAGCACAGCTGGTCGAGGCATTGCAAAATGACAAAATTTTACTTAGTACTTTTATCTGGTTTCCAGAGCAAATATCTTAGTACATTTGAAATAAGACAAAACAAGTAACTTTTCAGCTGGATATAGAAGTTTGTTTTAAGTAAATTATTCTTGAATTGGCTATATTTTTAATTTGTTTTGAGAAAGCCATGTGTCATTTAGATAGATAGATAGATAGATAGATAGATAGATAGATAGATAGATAGATAGATAGATAGACTCTTTTCTAATCATTTTCTTTTCAAAAGAATTCATTCTGTGATTTTTCAACTCAGCATGTCCTTGGTTTCACTGAAAAGCATGTTGACGTAGAAAACCTCATGTTCTGGCTTCTGTGCTGCACTGACAAAGATCTTGGTGATGTCCTTCAGCATCCATTGTGCTGTCCTCACTCTACCATGTCTATGTTTTGATTCACTTTTGTTCTTTTATATAAGTACAGCCCCCTCAGTAAGAAAGTTGGGACACTTTGTCAATAGAAATGAAGCTTTTCAAAGTTCTCTCAAAATAAGTCCTTGTGGAGGCCAAACAAAGCTCATCTTCTAGCCTATGGATGAGAGACAATATCAAGGTTGTCGTAGGAACACGTTTACAACTGCATACATCAATAGGGCGTATAACTTGCTCGTGTCTGAACACTTTTATTGCTGATCAGTGTGGGAGAGTTTTTAAATGACATCTCTGGGCATATTACAACAGAGAGTGCAGGAAAAGTGTGTGTGTGGGCAGTAATCTTGCAAGGAGTCCAAACTCTTGATGCTTGATTGTTTCAAATCAATGCAAGAATTTCAAGGCAATTTAAGGATACGCCAGTTTAAAAAGCAATCCGTGCGGGGTGATGATAATATTAAGTTTTATTAGATGACCTCGCTTGAATGAAACAATGAATACAAGCAAGTTTGCTGTTTCCAGTTTGCACAAGTTTAGGCTTCGGTATTATACAGTTGTAAAATCCTCCATCATAAAATTCTGGGAGTACTGCAGAGGAATCATTTATCCCCAGGCTGTGTGAATCACAGAGCAGAGAGTGTGCTTTGGAACTAGTCGTGACAATATAATGTAATATAATATAAGTGGGGGGGCTTCCACAGAGACAGAACTTGAAATCTGTACATCTTCTCTGGCGCTGTTATAGCAGGATGTGCTGTAAAATTGTCAGTGTGTCAGTCTGATATGTTTTCTCACAGTGAAATGCCATAACCATGTGGGGAGGGGGGCACTGATATGAAAGCAAATTATGTTTGTCACTAACTCACGACTGCAGGAAATTACATGAGAACATTGTTAATCACTCTGAGCGCTCCACAATTCACAGTGTCATGTCTGCAGGGATTTGGGGCTATTAGACTGCTCTGCATCCATTATTCTGTAAACTATCCATTTATCCATCAAGAGAGAGGAAACTAAAAATAAAAAAGGTAGAGTGCGTCTAATTATAGGACTGGACAGATCACGATACCCTTCATCTTCGAGTGTTTTTCACAGAACAAACTGTTCAAATGCATATTCTTAACTTGATTTTAATCATGTTGAAATAACTGCATGTTCTGCAGGTAATGTCTACCTGTATTTCTAGATGAATCTAGACTTCTTTCTTTATTCCAAAGAGAAATTGATTTTTTTTTTTTATTGGACATTATGCGGGTGCTTCATGCTTCTATAAAAGGCATACTTTCTGAGCCAGCGCGATGACGCAGAGACTGCATGGGCTCTCAGCAGGAGTATAAGAGATGGCACTCAGCTGCGTTGCGGAGCACACATGAAGGGGGGAGAGGAAATCGATCGCTGATTAGACTCAAGAAGCTTCTCGGTGGGAAGAGCCAAAGGGATGAACACAACTGAGAAGTTCTGCCTTCCCGTTGATGGCATCCTCGAAGTGTTCAACTCTTTCACCGGGCATCAGCGTTCACGAATTGCGCACCAAGTACTGCAGAGCGCAGCTCTCATCCCGCGATCCCAACACCCCAAAGTCTCAAACATAACCAAAACGGGCATGGGCATCATCAAAACTGTCAAAGGTTGCTGGAGACGGCAGGATAAGAGAATGACCTCCCGCAGGTCCTCAAGTTCCGGGCGTCGGCAGGTGTCGATTGACCGAGTCCCCAAAAAGCCGGTGGACCTGACAGAGTTGGGTGCGACCAAGTCGAAGAACTGTCACAGAGTAGTGGTGCTCGGGGCGCCCAAAGTGGGTAAAACCAACATCCTCCGGCGGTTCTTAGGGGAAGACTATGAAGAACACTATGAGCCTACTGTCGAGGACTTTTATCGCAAGATGTTCCACATAGGAGGGGAAACATACCAGGTTGATCTGCTGGATGCGGCATCTGAGAAAGACTTTCCAGCCAAACGGAGATTGTCCATACTTACAGGTAAGGACGCTTTATGGCTTAGTTTTACCAAGAAAAACAGTCGATGTCCTTAAACTCAATTACAATCTTTTTTTTTTTTTTTTGTCTTTGCAGGTGATATTTTTCTCCTAGTCTTCAGCTTGAATGACAGAGAGTCTTTGAATGAAGTCCGTGAGCTGCTCGACGAAATTAAAGCCGCAAAGGCAAAACTCCAAAAGCCCAACCACCCCGCGAAGGTGCCAGTCCTGGTGTGCGCCAACAAAGCAGACCTGGACGCTCAGAGAGTCCTCAGCAACTCCGAGGTGGTGGACATCCTGGGCGAGGACGCGCCGTTCTTCGAAACCTCCGCTAAAACAGGCGCCGGACTGGAGGCTGTCTTCGCGGCTCTCGCAGCTCTCGGCGGGCTGCCCGACGAGACCAGCCCGTCGCGGCATCAGATCATCCCCATCCTGACCTACCAGTCGCTGTGCGTGGGCAAACGAGGCATCAGGATGAGGAGACACTCCCGGGGACTCGGCGCACCCTGCGCCGCCGTGGACCCCCTTGCGCGCCGCCCGAGCTTCGCCAGCGACCTGCGGCTGGTGCTTGGATCAAGCACCCAACACAAGAAACCCGAGAAGCGTCAGGTTCAATGAATTATGAAACTTCTCGACAAAACAAAATTGTAGTAGTATGCTGCAATGTCATAACATGTAAGGAGTTATACTCTGTAGCACCTGGCCGGACCGGTGCATTAATCATTTTATTTTTTGTATTCTATAATTGCATCCTTTATTAAAAGTTTGTTTAAAATGTCGTGCTTGATTTCCCCCCCCCTCCCCCCTCTCAGTGATCAAACATTTTGTCGATTACAATGAGAATGTGAAAATGATTTACGCAAGAACTTGATGGTTGTCAAGTGTTGATGTAAAAAAAAAAACTGGAGCGTGGGATGGGGATCATCTGCGAGAGAGGATGACTCAAAACGTCTTCAAGAGTCTCCAATCAGACACGAGAGATTATTCACATTTCGGGGCGCCCACGACGCTCGGGGTTGGCAACGAGCCTTACAATGTGTCAGGAGCAATCCCGCTTACTCAGCTCCGGTAGTTTACACACGTCCGAATCACGTTGTATTTTAGGAAGCAAAACCTTAAGGCGATATTTTTGAGGAGGAGGAGGAGAGGGCGAATGATAAGAGGAGAGCGGCAATGAGATCAGTACCATGGAGAGAGCCCACATGGAAGCCAGAGGGCAACTTATCCACTCGATACAGTCAGCCATTTTTCATAGATCCTACTATTACTTTTTGAGTCATGGCACATTTTAAGATGTCAATCACTTTTCCTTTCATATAGTTACATAAACAAATCAATAACATTTGTGAGAAGGAGACATAACTCTGGAATTTATCGAAAAATATTTATTTTCTTGTACAAAAGTTGCACCGTTACATAACCTCTGGGGGGGAAAAAACATATTTGATTTTTTTTCTTCAGACTTTTTTTAGAAAACAAAAACAAAAAAAAAAAAAAGTAAAAAGAGTAAAATACACTGTTTTCAGTTTCTTTGCATTTTTATTTTCCAAATACATACATTTACAAAAAGAAACAAACAAAACAGTTCTTAATTATGTCCAGTTAGATTGGACAAAGATGTGTTAAGTAAAACATTCATTATTTCTTACCAGGTTTCTGCATTCATTTTAATTCTGTAATAAATAGAATGCTCTATCAAAAAAAAAAATCACAAAACTATACACAAATGTTTTTGGATGTTATGTGACAAAGTCTATACTTCTACAAGGCATTATAGCACATAAATGTAGCATCCAAATAGAAAGTATTATTTTAACCAATCTAAGTTAATTATATAGTACTCCAGAAACTGCAATTAAAAATAAAAGTGAAATTGAAAGTATTATCTTCAGCAGTTTAACTAATAAAGCAGCAAATATTACAAAAACGGTCTAAAATTAAACATATATCCTTGTATTTAAAATAACCTGAAAAAGACTGCAAGAAAAGAAATTAAGATATAAAACACACTTTTTGAACTGACATCTAATATCCTGTTAAAGCTGCATAGAGGGTTACAAAATATTATTCATTAAAAAAAAAACATAAAGCAGAAGTAAAATATTTGAGCATTTCTAAAAAAAACAAACAAAAACAGATTGTATCAAATCTGACATATTTTTTAAACAAATAAATACTTTATTCTTTTACACATATCTGTCATGTTTAGGCAATTCAACGGATTGTGCAAATTCTTATTTATTTTTTATTTTTTACATGGTTGTGATTTAGAGAGTTATAGATCTTCATTGTCAGTTAGCTGCCAGTTTTTGGGAAAAACCTCTTTCCAGTTCCACCAGCAAAACAGGAAGCATGCTGTCCAGTAAGGCCAGACCCTCCCAGGAACATCTCAAACCCCTAAAAAAAAGAAATTGAAAGTATTATCTTCACCGGTTTAACTAATAAAGCAGCAAATATTACAAAAAGCGTCTAAAATAATAGAAAGAATAATGAACAAGGTGTCTGGGTTGGTGTTTGCTTAAATAATTATGCCAAACAAAAAATATGCTAGATCTAGCTTCATATAGATTGCAACTGTATGTGTTTACAAGTAAACATGACAGTAGAAAAGCAAAGACAATGAAATCACCTGTCATCAAGAATCAGCTGTCCACGTTGCAGCAGCTCTTGGACAACAAGAGATCCACCAAATATTTCAAGAAGACTTAATTCAGGGCTAAACAGCTCCCAGTGCTTTAAAAAGGCAGAAAATTGTGACAAATATGTTCAGGTTTTACAAAAACTACTCACTACTCGACATTCTCCTCAGTGACAGAGGCATTCGCACAGAAAGTAAAAGGGCTATTGTGTGAGCTTCACCTTGTGACTAATGCCCATGGTCATTCTCATTCCCATCACTAACACCTCCTCTAATCTGCAAAACAAAAATCATTCAGAATTAACAAGGACAGGTCTCAATATAGCTTCTTCTAATGTGGACAGAATGTTTCAGAGTTGTAGCACATGTATACCCAGTCACACATCTTGTGAACTAAGTGTCACATTTTCACATGGCCAGGGAATTTTGGGAAACTGCAACAATGTGTCGTCTTGTGTGATTACCAGAAATAGCCATGGCAAGACACATCGCTACTGCCTGTAAGTGTAACAACTCACAGTTCAAGATGGCCCAGCTGGATCCGCCTCCGTGTCCCATGTCCTCGCTGCCGGACTTCGCGGATCCACACATCCGGCTCCAGGGTCTGTGTCCGGGCCTCACGGGCAACGCCTCTCTCCCCAAGGGGAACAAAACGTCCATGTGCTCCTGTTACACAGCGTGAGCAAATAAGATTACACAAAAACAACCAACATCCACCAGTGGTTCTGACCCAGTTTAAATTACCAGGGCCAACACCGATGTACTGTCTTCCCGTCCAGTAGCTCAGGTTGTGACGACTCTCTGAATTCTGTGCAACACAAAGACAGGTGATATAGTTACAACTGTGAGCAATGGCACAGAACAAACTTAATCTCATTAAGAAGTAGTACAGTTATGATTTTAAACAGAATCCCATCTCTAAGTGTCAAACACACTCATTTTGACCCAATATTTCTATTTTCAAATGCTAACTAAATATGATGCAAGTTTACTCATCGACACAGCTAAACAAGACTATGTAGCATGACAGATTTCTACGGAGTGAAAATAATCTCAGAATATGCTAAGGGGCAGGCTCCCAGTTGCGATATTTTTTTAAAAATTACATTTTTAATCGACCTGACCCAGAACTTTGTCATCACCATCTGACAAAAATAAATATAAAATAATTTTTTAATGACCATATTAGTGATGTTTTTACTCATTTTTACAAATGCTTCTCAAGAAACAAAAGAAATATTATTTAAAACAAAAAACAACAAAAAGTCCATCTGACGGAGTTGACGCAGAGCTAAAGGTGAAGACAAACTAGTGAGTAAAAAGAAATACTTGATACATGTGAAGTTATGCAATTTATGTAAAATACATTAAATGAATTAATTGCACATTTAAGTGAGATTTGACAACAATTTCACTGAAAGAGTCACAAAAACTCTGATGGAGTTGACGAAATGCCAAACTACCTCAATTTATATGATGTTATTCTGAAGGAGGCCATATTGTAGCTCCTCAGGTCCATGAAATCTTTACAGTATACCAAAATTAAGCTTTTATTTCACAAAATTTCATCAAAGTTTTGTAAATTGTCAGTTATGGAATTGACACATCATGGTTGTGACAAGCAACTTAGGAATAAAACAGAAGAAAAAACTAAATAATAATAACATGCTAACCAGAGCTAACTAGCCCTCTTGGCAAAGGAAGAGAAAGGAAGTGGTCATCGGGTCCTCAGAAGTTCTGATGCCCCCCAATAATGCCTGATTTTTTTTTTTTTAACATTTGTTTTACGTCTGACAGTGTTAACAAAAACTAGGGACAAATTTCAATGGGGTTGGAAAATATATAAAAATGATTTTTAATTCAGTTTATTGGTACTTTTACAATTATTTATATGAATACTTATACTTAATTGTCATAATATACTTAGTATTCCTTTGTTTTAACTATTATAATGTAATACATTATAATATGTATAATTATAATGTATTGTAATTATACATTATAATTACCCCTTGTCTTGAGTTCTGCTCCAAGACAAGGGATTTTACAGACACCATCCACCAACTACAATGTTTAAAATAAATAAATATTCAGCAAACACCAGGAAAATATACATTGTTGTGCTCACATGACCCAGGTTAGTCAGATATTTGGAAAAAATATATATATTTTGTGTATATTTTATTCAAATTTTGTGCTTTGTTTTGTCCCTATTCTCAAGAATCATTTGGAATACAAGAATTCTCAGTTTGCTTTTTAACTTCGTTGGAGATGCAACACTTTGAGAGAGACAATTTCAAACGGTAATTTTAGAAACTATTTCAATTTTAGTGAAAATGATTCTTACTATCGGTTGGGGCCTTGGCTATCTGGTCACAAAGGGAGTTGAAAAATTACTGGGACATAGTATTGAAGAAGAAGACACCACAACAGAGAGCTCATCTGACGAGAGATTTGAAAATGGTTTTGATATTGTTGCCAAAGAATCCGAAGAGGACAAGAGGTGGAGATACTTTTATTTTGAGGAACTTATTCTTGAAGATCATAGTGACATGGACACTTCCACTAAAGTTGTCAGTACCACTTCACGTGTCTTGAAAATTTGACAGTCAAGACTCCTGAAGATACTGTTGCTTTGGAATTTGTCAGTGTTCTTGATTTGGAGCTGCACTTGGAAACTTGCTCTGGGGACACAGACACTGATGATTATGAAAGAGTTGATGTTCCCCTTGAACAAATGGACCTGGCTTTTGAAGCGAGCTGTGATCTGGAAAACTGTGCACCAGAGATCCAGTTAACGGAAGATTCTCAGGTGAAGGAATTAGAACCAGAGCCAAAGTCTGATCAAAACACATCTGTCTTCACTCCTGCAGATGAGGATTTATCTGTGAAGGAAGGTCAGTCGGACAGTCAAATGTCCTCAGTGCTGGAAGACGATGAATTCAAGAAGAAACTGACAGATTCTGAAGTTTGTCTTGCGGTGGAAACAGGGCAGGTTCCACATGCATCTGGATTGACAGGAGAAACCCCAGAGGAGATTACTCCAACTGAGCCAGAACTGGAAGAACCACAACCAGAGTACTTCAGCGAACCAGAGGAAAACCAGAGCAAAACTGAGGAGATAAAGATCAGAAAAATGGCCATGATAATCCTAGTCAGCAATCTGATCCAGAGGATTATCAAGAAATCAGGACAGAGCTGTTACCCTCCAGAAAAATTTAATGCCATATTCAATCGTCTGTTTGATAAACTCTGGATTGAAACTGAACCCATAGTCCTCAGTATGGGATTTCACCAGCTCATCATTGTGCATAAGAGTTTAGCACATTGGTATTTGTAATTTTATGCAGAATGAGACTTTACACAATAAGGAAAGGATGCAAAAACAGATGTCAGTTGGATGAAATATGTTGCTAAAAGGACTTATGATTACTTTGTAGAAGTTATTTGAACTGTGCACTGATGTGCTGGTATATAAATGTTGAATTCTGCTTCATATATATTAGGAGTATATTTAACTAAATATTAAGGGTAAATAACAAGTAGGATTTTATTACATATGTTGCCTTTTAACTGTGTTTAAGTTAATCCAAGCTTTAAAATCCTTAATTTATTGATAATATGAGGCTGTTTGTGACAGACTTACATTTTTAGCAAAGTTAGACACTTCATACTGCTGAAAGCCGTGCTGCTGGAGAGTTGTTCTGGCACATTGGTACATCTCTGCTGTGATTTCCTCTGTGGGCATGGTTACTTGTCCAGACTGGACCTGTTTAAACAGCTGAGTACCTCTCTCAAGGGTGAGCTGATACAGAGACACATGGTCATCACACACCCTCAGCATCTCAGACAACTCTCTGCTCCACAATTCAGTTGTTTGGTTGGGGCGTCCGAACATAACATCCACCGACACCCCACCTGGACACAGCTTCCTGGCCTCTGCCAGAGTCTGCAAAGCATCCAGGGAATTGTGGTCTCTTCCCAAACTTTTCAGGTCCTTGTCCTGCAGAGACTGTGGGAATAACAATGCGTTATAAGCAGTAGCTGGACACAATTTTCTGTACCTTAAAATCTAACATTTTTGTTTACCTGGACCCCAATGGAGAAACGGTTCACGCCCGCATGGTGGTAGTCTTTTAACTTTGACATTCCCACTGGGGTAGGGTTTACCTCCAGTGTGACTTCAACCTCATCTGAGAGATTCACCTGCTTGGAAACTGTTTCAAGGATCTTAGCGATGGTTGATGGGTGAGCCAGGCTTGGAGTCCCACCACCAAAAAAAACAGATGTGATGCTGCAAGTCCAAAACCAAAGGATTGTGAAGGTGTTTACAGGGCAAAAGTATTTATATCTCTTAAAATTCTTCAGATGTTGACATGATCAATTCACAATCTTCAGTCTATTTTATAAGGACTTTATGATAGACCAACATAAAGTGTAGAATAAGTGTGAAGTTGAAGGAAACTGATAACACACTTTGCTAAATTGCTTTTACATTCCAAAATTGCAACAAAGTTCCAGTTTGTAAGTTGTCAATATATAAAAAGTTGAAAGGGTATCCATATCTCTGCACTGCATTAGTTGTAACCTGTATGCAGGATTGAACACAAGAGTGACTTGACTGAATGAATTAACATACCAGGACACTTGACTGAGTTGCAGCAATGTCTCAGTTTCCCTCTGAAGACACTTTGCCATGATGTCTTCGTTGTTCTCTTTGGGTATGTATTTGTTAAAATTGCAGTAGGTGCATCGTCGGAGACAATAAGGCCACTAAGGAAGGGAGAACAGAAGGCAAAGCATACATCATATATGCCTTAAAAGTCGAATACTTTAATATTAGAACATTTCTGAAGAAACGGGGCCTGCCAAAGTGTGCCCGTCGGTTGGAACTGAGCATTCAGAGGTTATAAATTAGCATTAATGCTAAAGTAAGCTACAATGTACTCAATAGTATGTGGAGTCACAAGCATGTTGGACTTAGTCCATTCAGTATGTTAAAATTAGTCTATAAGCTAAAATTAGCCAAAATGTTGCCAGTGGCATGTTGTCTCACATTGACTTCATCCATTCAGTGTACTAAACATGGAAAACAAATAAAAAAAAAAACAGCTAAAACGTTTATTTTAGAGATGAGGTTACTGCTACCACCAGTAAGGGGGCAGTGCACTGCTAATGTTTGTGCTAATCTGAATGCACTGCCTTCTAATTTTTACTTTTGCAAAAGTAAAAATCAGACGTTTTGTGGGGCTTTGTTACCAGAAAACGTGGTCATCTCTTAGCAACAGACTGACAACAAATGCTGTTTTTCCAAGATTTCTTCTGCTCTTTTGAAATACTACTTATCTTATATACTTAACAAGAATTGTGCAGTTGTTTTTTTTTTTTTCTTCTTTTTTTGTCATTGGTGGTACATATAAAAGAGACATTCAATAAAGAAGTAAAAATCAGATTTTTACTTCATGGCTGCTTGTTACCAGAAAAAAAAACACTAATCTCTAAACAGCAAATTAATAAGTAATATTATTGTTTGTAAAGCATAAGCTCTTTTGAAATACTGCTTATCTACTTAGACACAGGAAATGTATAGTTTTAAATTGTTAAGTAAAAATCAGATGTTTACTTTGTGGCACTTGGTTACCAGAAAAGGTGCTCATCTCTTAGCAACAGATTGACAACAAATATTGTTATTATTCAAAAAACGTAATATTTCTTCTGCTCTTTTGAAATACTATTTTTCTTACACCACGTAACAAGAATTGTGCATTTGAAAATGGTTTTTTCTTTTTTTTTGTCTCATTGGTGGTACATATATTACAAAACAGACATTCAACACAAAAGTAAAAATCTGATTTTTACTTTGTGGCTGTTCGTTACTTGAAAAAAACGCTCATCTCTAAACAGCAAATTAACATTAACAAGTAATATTATTGTGATGATGCACTAACCTGAGAGGAATAATGAGGCTTTCATTTTGGAATTTTCAGTAGCTTCATTTTAAAAGGCCTCAAGAAACCCTTGTGTAACAGTGGTTATGTTAAACCAGTCCTCAGAGAAACAATTCAGGTGTGTGGCAGAAGGGAAATACCTAAAACATGCAGGACAGGGGGGCGGTGAGGACCAGGGTTGAGAAACACTGTTCTAACTGTAAGCTCTGGCCTTCTCTGTAGGAACTGAGTGGTCTGCTGTCTCTGTAATTCCAACCTTCAGCCATCTATGTTGTTCTCTCTGTTTCCTCAGTGTTCTATTGTTACGGTAAGTAACCCTCTCTGAAAATTGTCGTGTGAGTGAGACACAGAGGGGCAGACGAAATTCTCTCCGTTTTGAGTCAGTTAGAATTTGTTTTGATTTGAATTGGGCTCGTTTTTCGCCAGTTACGTCGCCATGGTTACTCGAAATGCAAACAAAAGTAACAGCACCCCTCACGTGAGGAGGCGCGCGGCGGACGAGCCGCATTGACGGTGAAAGGAAGCGGCAGTTATTTTGAGGTGGAGAATGTGCCTTCCATGCATTGCTATGGCAGGCCCCAATAACTAACTCGGCTAAAGGAAAAGATGTGGCTTACGTGCACATATAAGGACGCCTGTTCAGTGAGACGAGGGGAAGCTGGACTCTCAGGCACATGTTCGGTCACTTTCAGGTCAGAAAAGCAACGCAGCTCCGGTGAGAAGCCACGGCTGGCTTTACGGAACATGTATGTTATCATCCTGCTGACACATTTAGCTGTCTGATCACACTATCCAGTACAACACCGGTTGATATGACAACCAGGATACAAATAATCAACATAAACATGCCTTTCCGTCCATTGTTTTAGAGGGTGTGACGTCTGTCTAAACAGGAAATACGTCAAATAAATTCCTTTTGGTATGTCCTGCTATTTTACCACATGGAGGCGCTATTTTACCAGAACAAAACTTGTAATTTATGTATTCAAATAACCATCCTTTAATGTAGGAGGGGCGATTTATCGAACCGTATTCATGCTTTCTCCTGCTGTGCCTCATGTTTTATCCTGACTGTTTGATTATGTAACTCTATTCATTTCTTTAGTTAAAAAATACTAGTTTTAGTATTAAATCCAATTATTTGATCTTAGATGAAAGCTACCATTACAATTTAAACTGCATATTTTATATATATATATATATATATTTGTAATTTAAGGTTGGATTTTCCAACATCATGTATTAAGGTAATCCTTATGCCTTCAAATAAGAAGGTACTTGTTCACCAAGTACTCAAACATGACAGATATAGATGCCACAAAAATGTTCTATGTTCATTAGATGTTAACTATTTTATTTTAGATTTAAGAAATTTATTTTAACTCAGTACAAATTTTGGCTGCATTTTCAAATAACTAACCAAATGATACAAACTGAAATATGTACTGTTGCATTGATGACCAATTTATTTCTGCTAAATAATTTTTGTTTTATTTATATAAAAATATCGCAACATTTACTAAGTTGTTGAGTTCCCTTTATTGGGACTTTCAAGCATCAGCTGGTTCCAGGTTAAAATCAAACCATTTATATCATTACAGAAAAAGGCTAATAATTAAACAGAAAATAAGCTTTTTTTAAAAAATAAATAAATAAAATAAAACAAACTTCATCACCAACAATGGGAATATTCATAAACTCTTTGCCATGCCATATGATTTCCACCACATGATACAAAACAGGGAAATGTATTAGATAATTAAACAAAGATTTTTATTTCATACGTCAATAAATGTGGATGAGCTCACTGTTGGTTTCTGACCCTGCGGATATTTTCCAGCCAATATCAAATCTGATACCCAACAGAGGCAGACCAAAACAGACAAGAGCAAAGGACCCAGATACATTTTCACTGCGCACAAGATACATAGTGATCATGTTCATTTAAACCACCTTAAGAGAGTGAATCAGAGTCAAATGGATAAAAGAAAGAAAGGTAAGACTTTACATTCAAAACTGTAAACATGCAGTTGAAACTAGATGTTTAGTTTTAGTACTAGGAAAGAGATTAAACTAAACAACATGTTTCTGTTTATTCCTTTTGAATTGATTACATTTACAGCTAAAACTTAAATTCAGAGCATTATTTTAAGCTAAATGAAATCTCAGACTCCTGTCTTGACAGGATCTCCAAAGGAACTGAGGCTTATGGTGGTCGGTAGCAGCGGACCCTCTCAGTTCCAACTGACCAATGCTATACTTGGAAAGGAGGTCTTTTCAAACGATGTTATCAGTATTTCTGCAAGTGTGAAGAACAAGGGAGAGCTGTCTGGTCGACCAGTGGCAGTGGTCAATGGACCAAACATGTATGACAAGGATATAACTCATGCAAAAAGGAAGATGGAGCTCAGGAGGTCTAAGTGTTTAGTTATACCTGGTCCCCATGCCTTTCTTGTTGCCTTTGACATTGAGAAAATCTCCCCAAATGACATGAAAACTCCTTGGTTGCTAAAAAGACGCTTTGGAGCAAACTGCCTGAAACACTGCATGGTTCTCTTTGCCTATGAAGGAAATTTGGATGGAGCGTCTCTGGAAAACAGGGTGAAGAAGACTGAATGGTATCTGAGAGAACTGATTGAGAAGTATGGCGGGCGCTTTCATGTTTTCAAGAAGAATTGGAGAGATCGAAGCCAGGACAAGGAGTTTCTGCGAAAAATTGAGTTGATGGTGGCTTCGTTGGGAGGGGGACACTTCTCCAGCAGAACTTTCCAAACGGCAGAGGACAGCGTGAGGAAGGAGGAGAAAAGGCTCAGGAAACAGAAGGCAGAGGAGATAGAACAGACATGGAATGAGATGGAGCAGCAGTACACGTCAGAGGAGCTGTGTTTTCAGAAGGATGCCTACATCGCCAATGTACGTGCAGAGATTCAGGCTAAGGCAGAGCTTGATAACGGTTGGCTCAGAACATCCCTGGCCAGAGGGCTGGGCACTGGCTTAGTTGTGGGGGCCGTGATTGGTGCACTTTTTGGATCTATTGAAGGGGTGGGAGGAATGGCTCTTTATGGTGTTATAGGTGGGGCGGTTGGTGCATCTGCAGGCGGAACTGCTCATGTGGCAATCAAGCATATGGAGAACAGAGTTGCCCCACCGGCTAGACTCAATTTTAATTCTATCTTCATTAACCGTTTCTTCACAGTTCCTCGTACATGACAGGATGATGACTTCATTTTTCTGTGTAGAAATAAATGTTTGTCTTTTGCTTATTTGTGCCAAACTTGAAACACATTGATTCATTTCTCATTCATCATGTTTTGTTCTGATTGAGATTTGTTTTCGATGCCTCAGTGTGTTTAAGCGTTAATTTTTTTGTACCTGTTTTGAAAGTCTTTGAAAGGTATTTCTTAGAATATTGATTGCTTTTCACTTAGTTTTCACAGGTTTGACAGGTAATTATGGGGCCATATAACATCCCACTTCATGCCCACCATGGAGGATATGTGATGCTTTGGGCTTGTTTGTCTTCCAAAATTAACTCTTCAAAATACATTTTATTTCATTGTGTCCTCCAGCATCAATTAAACCAAACCATAATGATCCAAACATAGAGATATGTCTGTAATAAGAACAAAAACATGTATTCAAATAAAGTGTGGAATTTTCCCATTTTTTTTCAAATTAAGTTTATCTGATTGCAATGAATGTTATATTTGTTTTAAGGCTTTTCATGCAAAAAGATTTAGTTTTTTTATTTTATTTAGATACTTCAAGGATAGGTTGGTGGTATCTAAATTTAAAATATTGTGGTGAATAAAAATTATTCATTCAACTCTGATAGAACAGTATATTGTTTGCTGCTGATTTGTGAATACTCAGTATGTTGTACCACCTTCACTCTCTTGTTGTGCAATGAGTTAAGGAACGGCTCAGTACCATGAAGGGCGGAGTTAAAGCTTGCTCATGTTTGCCATTCCCTACAAAGACCTGCCCATTCTCCTTAGTAAAACTCATAGCTGAGCACACCTGTTCAGAACAAACAGGTGCATTCTTCTTCTGTTCTTACCTGAATTTAACAAAGTTTCTCTGTGGAAAAGTTTGCTTTGTGGAAAAGACAGAGTGCGGAAGGTAAGACTGCATTTATGTCATGCATTTTTAAGATTGTTTTCTTTTATCTAAAAAATGGACTTTGTGATCCTTTATGTAAGTTCTTTGAGCTTTTTACGGGCATCTTACATAACGAGGGATTACTTTGTTATCACAGCGTAATAAAACAGGGAGAGAGCACGCAATGAAAATTAAAACAGAATCCTAAAGGTTTCAGTGTTACAGTGAGACGAATATCTTTGGTAGTTACCTGTTTGACAACATACTTTTCTGCTTCCGTTCTCAGTTAATCTATCTGAACCAAGATCACAGAAAACGCGAATACCATTGGGAGTGACAATGAGCACCAAGGAAGAGAACACAGTCAAAGGGGTATGTTTCAGTTCGACAAGTAAAACCTAAAATTATATTCTTCATTTATGCTCTCAATGCCTCTAAGCTTAGAAACGGGATAGCTTGCTTACTCATCTTGAAACACTGCAAAGCATGCTCCCATTTCTGACTAATTACTTCTGATTTAGCATTGTACCAAAAGAAAAAAAAATACTTTAGGATAATTGAATACCTTGAAAAACAAGAACTATGGGTTCATAGTGTAACCAATTTACAGTTGTGAAAATATATCATGTTTGTTAACATGTTGTACCTTATTTCTTGTCAAACATTTAATCATTCTTTACAGATGACGGATTCTTCCATCTGCCTCCTCCCCGAGAAGCACTTTTTGTGCCTTCTCTGCAGAGACATCTTCACCAACCCAGCAACCATCCCATGTGGACACAGCTTCTGCTTGTCTTGTCTGAGCCAGTTCTGGACTCATCGCCAATCCAAATACTGTCCTGACTGTAGAAGATTGTTTGCCAAAACGCCTGACCTCAGTGTCAACCATATTTTGGCAGATATTTCCGAAAATTATAGAACAGCACGACCTCAGAAACCACCGGAAGAAGAGAAGGTACTTTTTTCTTTGCTTATATTACACATTGATTAGTCCAAAACGTCAAGTGTACAGACATGTGAGAAAGTATTTGCCTCATCACAAGTCTCTTGTGTTTCTGCTTCGTTTGTGAAACTTAAATATTTTCTGATAACTTTATTCATCACAGAAAAAAGCTATACCAACACATACTTTGGTATATGTTAAAAAAGTAATTACTCCTTAAATTTAATATTTGGTTCTTCCACTCTAGACTCATCTATTTCAATAAGCATATTCAATAAGCAGCAGTCAGTGTTTTACATTGAAGTGGATGAATTTTGGCCAAGCTTCTTTGCCGAATTTCTTTAATTTAGCCACATTGCAGGGTTGACCTGTTGATGTTGTAAGGACAATTGTCCTCCTGAACAACCAAGTTTGCTGAAGCTTACGACTATGAATTGATGGGTAGACCTTTTCTCTTAGGATTATAAAGAGCTCCGGAATGTTTTTTCCATGTATGAACATCCATCAGCTGAGGCAGGTGAGGGTTGCAGTATTTTAGACCATCTAAAATAGTGGAAAATTATTTTATCTTCTGTCTTTGGACCTCTTGGATGAGTATTTGATGAGATATTGGAGTAATTTTGGCTCCCACTTATGGACTCAGGAGTTGAAAAGCTTTGTAAACAACTCTTAACACTTTCCAGACTTGTAAATATCACAGACTTTGTTTTTCATGTTCTTGATTTTTTGTTGTTGTTGTTGTTCTTGTTCTTGTTTACGGTATCAGAGTGTTTTTAGATGATTTAGCCTAATTTATGCTGTCAGATGGGTTCCATTTCTGTAATTCTTTGATTTTACGGGTCTGGTAGTGTAACCAGACCAGTAAAAGTTGGAACTTGTGGAAAATTTGGTTAATCATAGTTAATTCATGATTTTACAAAGTGGGCAATTATTTGTTTTTACATAGAACCAGGTTGGTTTGAATGACCCTTAATAAATACAACCATGATTTGAAAACTAAATTTTATATTTTCTCAGGTTAACTTTGTTTGATAATAAGAAGGATTTAAAAAAATACACTGTATTGCTGAGGTTACTGTTCTATGTCCACAGGTAATAGACGTCAAACAAATGATCAAGGACAGGCTGCAGAAGATAGAGAGGCTAAAATATTCTCTGGATGTCCAAAAGGTAAGTTAAAACTTTAGCATAAAAAACACTAATTCAATACTTCAATAGTTTAATAATTTAATGACTCCTCCATGTTTTTTTTTGTTTTTTTTTTTTTTTTTTTTCCAATCAGAGTTCTTACCTGCGTGAGGTGCGCGAGAGTCAAAAGGTCTTCTCAGCCCTGGTGCGTGCTATGGAGGAGACTCATAAAGCTGTTGTCTCTGCAATTGAAGACAAACAAAAGGAACAAGAGCAAAGAGTGCAAGCACTGATAAAAGACATCAAGGAAGAGATTGAGCAGCTGAGGAACCACATGAATCAACCTGATCCTCAGGCTTTTGACCAAAATGACGACATGAAGCAGGTTGTCTTAGTAAGTACTACCATGTGAAACAGAAAATATAATGATGTCGAGGTGCTATTGTCATCCCCTGCTGAGCATTGTTCTTTTTTTTTTCTTTGTAGCCCACTGACATGAAGGACTGGTCCAAGGTCAGCATTGAAACAGATCCTTGTGTTGGAGTCACGAGAAGAGCAATGTCAGACATCTTGGAAAAAATTAAATTAGAAGTCAACAGACTTTCCAAAGCTGGTGAGTAATTTTGACTGTGGATTTGTATATTATGTTACTGCTGTGCAGTAAATTAGGTGGCAATAACATTTCTTTTTTTTTCTGTCTTCAGAACTAAGAAGACTTGAGAAGTACACAGGTAAGGCCTTGTTGATGATGTAACACAGGTGGAAAGTATTTTTTCTTTGTATCTCAGATGAGCTGGCCATGGCATTTCAATTATTCTTTGCGTTTCTGCTGTCTTCCTTTTCAGTGGAGGTGACCCTAAGCGGAAAGACGGCCCACCCTTTCCTTTCCGTCTCAGATGACCGGAAACGAGTGAGGCACACCGACAAGCTTCAGGAGGTCCCAGATCATCCCACACGCTTTGACCGCGTGGCCAACGTACTGGGCAAGGATGGCTTCAGCAGTGGGAGGTGCTACTGGGAGGTGGAGGTTGGCGACAAGATTGAGTGGAACCTGGGCGTTGCCAGGCAGTCCATAAACAGGAAAGGCAAGTTCACTGTTTGCCCGGCCAATGGTTTCTGGACTTTGAGCCTGAAGAGTGGAGGCCAGTATGTTGCCAACACCTCACCGGTCACCTTTGTGGCTCTGGAGCAGCGGCCTAGAACTGTGGCAGTGTTTCTGGATTACTCCGAAGGCCGTGTGTCCTTCTACTGCGCCGAATCAGGAGTGCACATTTACACCTTCGTGGATAGGTTTAAAGACCGGCTTCACCCAATTTTCAGTCCTGGACGTCTGCATGGCGGCAAGAACGCAGCCCCACTGATCATCACTTCAAGCTTCTGCAGCATTTGAGCATCTGTGTTTGACGTTCCCTCTTAGTATTTATCTGATTCTGTCTAATTTATTAAATGAGATGTATATTGTGTACAATCTTCAATAAACCACATATTATTCTACGCAAATAACTGATTCATTACACTTGAGGACTACAGTGAATCCCATGGAACGAATAACAAAGAAAGGTAAAATGTTAAAGTAAAGAGGAGGCCCTCGAATAAGAGGAGATAAAGGGGTGGATGTGTAGGGCTGCAGAGTCGGGACAGAGGGGGCACAGCCAAACAGCAGGGCATTGTGTTCATACACCAGGCACTGGGAGATACACAATGACACATTCGTGCACACACACACAAGCTCGTGTTTCTGCCCACCGCCACACAGACTCAAGCTGGCAAATCTCAAGGGCAGCCCCATCTCCAGCCCAGTCCGGTCCCGTCCAGGGTGTTGGGAGCTGATCGTACCTCTCTGCTGCAGTTCACCCAACCTCTGAAAGAGAGCCTCACAGCCCTGATGCCTTTCTGCTGACTACGCTGAACTCTCAGGGCAACTCCAGGCATTGTCTGCTGGAAGGAGCAATAAACAAACGCACCTGTGGATCATCTCGAGGAGGAGAAGCGAGGAACCACTGGAGGTAAAAACCTTGACTTACGTCCAGCAAATAAAAGCATTCATAAAGGCAGTGTGTTTTATCTAACAGTTATGATAAAAAAGGAACAGATAACAGATCAGGATAACCCACCTTGAAAACTTTTATAACTTTAAAGGCTAAAAGGCCCGTTTTATGTAACTCACTGATATCATCAGTGAACCTCATAGTTTCACAAAGGTAAAAAAAATAGAAGAAAAAAAAGAAATCTGGGCCTTCCAGGAAGTCTTAAGCCTTCCAAGGAACTTATGTTCTAAAATTATAGGCAATGGTTTGTCATGCAATGTTTTGCAATAGTAAGCAGTTACTACATTCAGCTGTCTAGTTTTTTTTAAGTAAAATCTTCTTTGTACAAAATCCACTAGCATTCTCATAAAATCATGTTTTCTTTCCAGATACATGTCTTCATTTCTTTATTTTTTTGTAAAGAAAAAATAAAGAAATGCTCTGTTCTGAGCATGAACAGATAAAAAAAAAATCTCTTCATGCTCAGAGATTTTTTAAGACAGTTTAGGAAAATCTAATATGCTTATTTATTTTTTTTAAGAAAATGTGTAAAAAACTTTTTAAAAAAAATAAGTGCCTGCAGTAAGTCCCTTTGATATTTGCTTTTATTCTATGATGGTGTCAAATGGGAGACCGGTAATAAACAGATGAAACCGGTTCTGTTAGCCCACTCCACGAGTGTCTCATGAAAGCTGCTTGTGTTCACTCGAGTCCCTTCATGTTTTTCTGAGATTATCCACTCACCCGGCCAGGCGTAGCTTAACACCCACATCCGTGTGTCAAAGAGGGCTATTCTTTGCAGCGCTCCCTGGAATCCACTCAACATGGGCCTCTGTGTCCAAATATTTATGATAAATAAATTCACTAAACTTCCAAAACATAATTACCCTGTAATGTTGTAAAAATGTCATTTGAATTGTAATAATATCCCTCTGTATGATTCATCTCTAAAGCCTCTACTGGTTTAACTTTTGTTTCCTGAATTTCAGGATACATGCTCTTGTGGAATCTGAGTTGATCTCATCAACATCGACACAGACGAAGGAACAAGACTCCAATATTTCACAGCAACGCAAACTGTTTTCTTTCTTGTGGGACACTGATTTGACTCTGGACCCCAGGCTTACATAAAACCAAGACAAATCCATTTGATTCAAGCAGCACCTTCCATCATGGCAACCACGGGCATGCAGCTGATGGGCCTGATCTTGTCCATTGTAGGCTGGGTTGGTGGTGCAGTGGTCTGTGCCATCCCCCTGTGGAGGGTCACTGCTTTCATAGGCAACAACATAGTGACGGCTCAAATCATCTGGGAAGGCCTGTGGATGAATTGCATAGTGCAGAGCACAGGTCAGATCCAGTGCAAGGTGTATGATAGCTTACTGGCTCTGCCCAGCGACATGCAGGCCGCCCGCGGCCTCACTGTGTTCTCCATCCTGCTCTGTGGCGTCGCTCTGGCTCTGGGGGTCCTCGGAGTCAAGTGCACCAAATGCATAGGCGTCAACAGCCTCAAAGCCCGCATTGCTCGCATTTCTGGTGCCATGTTTGCCATCGCAGGGTTCCTTTACCTCGTTCCTGTCTCCTGGACGGCCCATTCCATCATCAGGGATTTCTACGACCCACACGTGGCGGCTCCACACAAGCGAGAGCTCGGCCCTGCCCTCTACATCGGCTGGGTGGCGTCAGCTTTGCTCCTGATTGGTGGTTCTCTGCTCTATGGGGGGTCCAGTCCCCCTGGGATCCCGGGTTCTCCCACCTTCAGCAGCGGAGAAAGCAGTCCCCGTAGAGCTCCCGCAACACAGGTCAAAGGTTACGTCTGAAACACCTCGAGATCTTCAAATGCACCCCAAGTGATGACATTATGACTCATTTTTGCTCCTCTTGAGTTCGCTCTTTTTCATAATTATACATATAATGTTTCTCCGGTTTACTTTTTTCTTTAAAAAAGCTACATGAATCTTTTTAGAGAAAATGTAATGTTTTTTTTTTTTTTTATGATTTCATACCCAATTTTTTTGAATAACATTTTTTTTTTCTGTCTGTCCAATACAATAAAAGTTGTATCCTCTAATGAGGAAAATTGTGTGTGCACATTTTTACAGATATAAAATCTCTTTTGAAAACCTTTGAACTGTATGTGTTTACCAAAGATGCATTACATCAGAACTACATTAACTGCAGTATTTTGTAAAGGGACACCATGTTTGACTGGAATACATAAACATCACTTCTGCTGAATGAAGAAGAAACAATAGAACAATAGGGGCTGTTGTACATTTACTTGAGAAGCCATATTGTTGAGAAGAGTGTGTGTGTGTTCGTGTGTTGTCCTATCTACCATCTCCTCTTTCCTGTCCCAGCTACACTGTGCCAGGAACATAAAGACATAATTTACATGATTTACAGTGCAAACCCCCACTGTCCTCCCTCCCCCCCAAAAAACAACATCAACAGATTACTGTGAGGGATCACATTTCAATCAAACTCTGCTAATGCGTTTTAATATAACAGTTTAAATAAAGTAGCCCTATTTAAAATATAATAGACATTTCCACTAATTTATTAATCAATGATAAATATCATTGAGCTACATTGAGAATTATTTAGTTAAGTCGGTGTACTTATTTTTCTGTAATATGTGATGAAATAAGTACCAGAGGACTTTTCTTTGTTCTGGATCTTTCTTCCGAGTCATCACATGCAACGCATACGAAGCAAATAAATATCTTTTTTTTTTTTTTTTTTTTCAGGATTTCTGAAACTTTTTATTTTTATCTTCTGTTGTGATGTAATCACCCCCATCAGATTGTCTCCTTTCGCTTTGTAACCGCAGAGGAGCGAGCAACACAATGCCACATTATAGAACCATTATTCCAACAACGTAACAACAGCGGCCAGTGTTCTGAGTGCCAGGTGGTGACTCATACATGACCTAAGTACGCCTGTACCAGTGATTGTGGAGTAAGGCTTTAAATACTGTAAGTCTGCGTTAATTTAAAATCCAACTGTAAAGCGGCAGAGTGGAACAAGTGCATAATTTATATTTTGAACACTTGGTCCAGTTTTAAAGTCACTTTAAGGTTTGATGACAATTTACAATGAGAGGATATCAGCTATATTACAGCAATCACATCTAAAAGTTGCAAGACACCTGACCTGGAAACCTGGATTTGAAGACTCCTCTTTTAGATATTTGAGGTCTGCTATTAGCGATCCTGAGGTCCAAATTAAAGCACAGAGTAGTAAGGGCCTTTGCTCCTAAATTGTGGAACAGACTGTATCTTCACCTCAATTCCTCCCCAGTATTAGACGATTTCGAAAACCATTTGAAAACTCAGTTTTATTCCTTAGCTTTTAATCATATTGAGATGTGTTCATTCTAATTGTGTAATTGTTCTTACTAAAGTTTCTCATTTTATCCATATTAAAGCTGTTGCTTTAAATCTACTGTATAAGTAAAAGTCCAAGAAGTATGAATATTTTAGCCAGAAACTGTAGTACTCTGTGCAGTACACAAAAATCTGGTCTGCACAAATTGAGGAAACATTAAAAAAAAAGAAACCAGTTAAAACAGTTAAAGCAAAATGTGAAACAGTCTTAATTAATAATTTAAGCTGCTGACAAAACAGCAATTTTTCTTTTACTGGGGAACTATCGCTGCTGAATAACAGTTTTGTATTTTGTTGTAAAATGTTGATCATCCATTCCTTTACAAAGGTACTGGTCTTGTGATTTCATCGTTTCGTCGCTAGGGGGAGACGCCCAATGGCTGTCGCCGTGAGAAGCAGGAAGAGTTGTGACTAAAACACAGCTGTACTCCGTGGCTAGCAGATAAGCTAACAGGCTAACCGCAGTGGTAGGTGAAAATATCAGGATCCGCTGGTCAAACGAAGCACCTCGTCGGACACTTTCAGAAACTGAATTGACAATGGGTAAAGGTGGAGGCACTTTTGAGAGGCTTCTAGGTGAGTTCACACCATATTCCTTTAATAGTTATCAGCTTTTATTCAACCGTGAGTCTGAAAGTGCGATGTTTTACAGCATATTGTTTTGACAGGGCTGTGGCTCTAAGGCCAGCTAGCTTCTTTTAGCTTGCTATTGTTCGGAGGCCCTGACAGACTCGCTTAATTTATTAAAACAACTGGATAAGTTTGGAGATACAGTTTATGCTGTCTATTCAAACGCGATGTTCTAGAGTCGCGGAAACTGCGGTTAAGGTAAACCCGACTGTCGGTTGTCTTCAGATGTGTTTATGTCTCCTTAACGAAAGTATATACGCTAACAGTTAAATCATTGCTGACACCTACTATGTAGTTCTTTACATGTCAAAATAGAAGGGAAAAAAATGAAATTGTGCGGTTGTCATGTATGTAACTGGTTAAAGTGTATTATTTTTGGATATTACAACAGGTCCAGTAAGTAGCTGCTGGCGTCATATAATTAGAAACGAATATAAACAGTATTTATAGACTCTCCTCTCAATGTAGTAGGTTAGTGACATGGTAAGAGTAATTTTACATCCATTCATTTGAAATGATCAAAAAGTCATAACTTAAAAATTATTTTGTTGGATTAAATCAGTTGGAGAAATTGAAATGATACGGTACAAATTCATATTTTCTAGTAACGAGAAAACTCCAAGTTCCTTTTTACCAGGCTCTTTGAGGTGAAATACCCATCACCCCAAAGGAAATAAACAAATTCTATTTTCTCATCACCATGTTATTGCTGGTTTATCGACTTCGACCTGCTGCTTTTGTTTTGCCATACCTATCCCCAAATTCAAAACACAGCAAGGAAGAAACCTTGCTAGTCGAATGTGGGGGCTGGGAACACTGCAAAACCTAAAAGGATAATGGTAAAAGGTATTAAAGATGGTATTTTTTAATAGCAGTATACCAAAATGAGGACAGCAGAATACACTGGAAATATATCATCATTACAATATCAGTCAGAGCAACATTAATATCACAAATAACTTAAATAATATATTTGTTGGCGTTTATATTCTAATTGTCAGGTATTTGCAATCTGCATTTCAGTCACCTATTTAGCTATTAAGGTGGAGCCTTAAGCCTACAGAGAGTTGGAAGCATAATATTGATGAGTGAGAAACAGAAGAGTGTTTAAAATATGTATTTACCATTGAAATCGCCATCAAAATATATAATAATATATCAGTCTTGAGATTTTTCTTATATCGTGTTGCCCTACTAGTTGAAGATATTCAGAAAGATCGTGTAAAATTTAATGCGTAACAATATTGGTGTGAAAACCACAGAATTCAACTCGGAGCCAATCAAGACGACACAAACCTACAGTTTCATTCTACAAGGCCTCATTTCTTTTAAACCATATGAAAATGGGGATTATTTGGAATGCCACAGGGATTCGGTCTGTTTGGAACTACTGGGAAATTGTCACTGATTAGTTAATTTTGTAACTTTTTAAGTTATCTCTATTACTGCAGACATCCTGAGCAACATGGTGATTAGTAACTGTAATTTTGAAGACCAACTGATGAAAATCTCGTCTTAATAAAATGTTTTGAGTCTACTGCTGGGGGCGGGGGGTAAAAACATTTATTTTTTTTAAGAAATAATTTATCTGTCAGTTTAATTATTTTTGCTGTTTTAGTATTTCAGTGAATTCTGTGGATAAATAATCACAATTTAATTCAGTTATACATTATTTTCTGCATAATCCTCACTATTTTCATTAATTATGGCTTAGATTCTCATTTAGTTTCTTGATAAGTATGAAATATTATGATCCGTGGTCAAAAATGACTGTGTAACCTGCTGCAGGTAGATGATATTTAAAGTCACATAACCACATTTCCTGTTGACAGAGTATAGATCATAAGTGGTTATGAAATATGGTCCCTGAAAAAAGGTCCTGTTGTGAACAGCTTTTTTTTTTTTTTTGTCCACCAAATAAACTGAGTCATGCATAAAAGCATCTCTAAAATGGTGAAGAATATTTAACTAAAATGTTTACAAATTAAATAAATTCCAAGGTTATGTTCACCTTTCTTCAACCATTCTGGTTGAACAAAGTGTGTCGCCTGAAGCACAAAGTCCGTAGTTGTCAGCGCGATTATAAAGATACCCAGGCTAACTTCTACTGTACTAGAGGCCTCTCACACTTACAAATGAAATTTCAAAAGTCTTGCAATGAAGAAAGTCTCGAATTAATCTGGGAGCCAAAAGCAAAGGCGTTGAAGTTTGGATTCTACAGGAAAGTTAGAGGACATCTGTCATTTTGCATATTTTAAATAATGTGTGTCAAAAAGCAACAATAAGGAAGCAACAATTGTAATTATGTACAGGAAGGTGATCTGAAACCAATCCAGTTGTGGGTCAGTGTTAAAAAAAAAAAAAGCTGTCCATTTGAGGAAAGAAAACAACTTTCTGTTTGCCACAGAAACAAGCTAAAATTTCCTCCAGACTAATCTGGCCACCAGTTATTTTTTTTAAATCTCACCAATCGGGATCACACAGGGTTTTAAAATGCAAAGGTTTCTTAGGGACATATGGATAAAAGTTGATATTATCTGAACGGTAAATGGTGTATGCTGTTGTATTTGTTAAACTGTGGTTTCCAAATCTTTTAGCTCATTAAATGGTGAGTAATTGTTGCTGCTTGCAGATAAAGCAACCAGTCAGCTGCTTCTGGAGACTGACTGGGAGTCTATTCTTCAGATCTGTGACCTCATTCGGCAAGGAGACACACAGTGAGTGTTTTAGTCTGATATCCTTAACTATCATATCTTTAGCATATTTGACTTTTAAAAGTAACGGTGAACGTTTTGTCTCCCTGAAGAGCTAAATATGCTATTGCTGCCATTAAGAAGAAACTGAATGACAAAAATCCCCATGTGGCGCTCTATGCACTTGAGGTAAGATGCTATAAGGGGAAAATTAGAACTTTGAACATGAGGGGAACTTTTATAAAGTTTTTAAAATCCCCATTTCATTTATTTTAATCGGCCGTAAAAAGCGCACTTCATGTTTTACTTTTTTTGTTGTTGTTTTACTAGAGGTTTGAATATGGATTTGTAAAGATGGCATTTCTACTAAAATTGTGTACTTTTTAATTTGTTTGCAGTTTTTGCAACTATTTTAAACATAGTGACAGAAAGCCTTCAGGAGTTTGTCAACTGCTATACTCCAAAGCTATGAAAAACAAAACAGAATAGAAAATGTTGGGGAATTTAAGTAATAAACATGAGAATGAGAGGCTATGCGGTATATACCATTACGTTGCTTTGATCGCATTGTGGGGTTAACAGTGTGAAGGATTACATTTAGGAAAATGGCCGTCTCTCTTCAGGTTCTGGAGTCTGTGGTGAAGAACTGCGGACAGACGATCCACGATGAGGTCGCGAGTAAACAAACCATGGAAGAACTGAAGGATCTATTTAAGGTGGTGTTCTTCTGAATTTTAAAACTGTTTAAATCTCTTCTGTGCTGTTTCAATTGTCTTTAAGTTTTCACTCAACTGTAACCTCTTTTTTTTTTATTTAACCTAATCATATACAGTTTGACATATATTTGTTCCTTTATGACAGTATTCTATTTTGATAAAGAGGAGAGTTTATTGCTTTTATCATAGACATTTTCCTGGAGTCAAGCTGGGCGTCACTATGTGATTCTGATACCATTAGTAGCTGGAAGCAATACATATTTGACCTTATGACTAAAAATATTTCTGTGCAACTTTCCATTAGGTCTCCACTCTCCATGTTTAAATAACAATTAAAACATTTTTGGTAAATTGGGAAAGAGCAGTTTTGGTTTCTCATGGGTGTTTTGTCCCTTTCCCAGCCCTTTATCTGACTCAATCAGTGCTCATTGCTCTCCTGCTGCTGCATGTGTTGCAGCATGAGCCAGAAATATCTGATTGGTTCACACTGCATCATGTGACTCTAGTTTTTTAAGCGCATTCTTCTTACTACTTCCTGCTGAGGTAATTGTCTTGTGACATGAGTGTTTTCACATCAGAAAAACAGCAGGGGGAATTTCTCCCTTACTTCTTATGGTCTCACTAAATACTGTTGAATTCGTTTGGCTTGTTATGACAACAAAAATTGTTTTTATTTAAAAAAAAAAAAAGACAAAAGGTTCACTTCAAATGTGTTGAGGCTCCTTGTTGACTGTGATTTGTTTTATTGCCATCAGAAACAGACAGAACCAAATGTCAGAAATAAGATTCTTTACCTGATCCAAGCCTGGGCTCACGCTTTCCGAAACGAACCCAAATACAAGGTGGTTCAAGACACCTATCAGATCTTAAAAGTGGAAGGTAAGTGTTCAGAAGCTGTATTTATAACTCTGTAAATACTTGTATGACTTATCTTCACCTGAAATGAAACTCTTCTTGAATTGCATACATTTTGCACTCTAAACTGCTTTTTCTTGTATATAGGTCATGTATTTCCTGAGTTTAAGGAGAGTGATGCCATGTTTGCAGCTGAGAGAGTGAGACTTTTATCCTGCTTTAATGACTAATTTAGTGCTTTCTTTTTTAAAATGATAAAAACAGACTCTTACTGATAGATTGAGATAAAGATATACATTTGCTTCACCTTATCTAAATGCCTCATATTCACCTTCTGCAGGCCCCTGACTGGGTTGACGCTGAGGAGTGTCACAGGTGCAGAGTTCAGTTTGGAGTAATGACCAGAAAGGTGGGCTGGGCTTCCTTCTAACTGGGCCACATGAAGATTTTATGGTTTTTCTTCCTTGCATCAAAGCGCTTTGTCTAGTTGACTGCTTAACGCTGCAGCTAAGGATTCACCTGGATTTCTGCTCCTTGCTTTTCCAGCATCATTGTCGAGCCTGTGGGCAAATTTTCTGTGGGAAGTGCTCGTCTAAGTACTCCACCATTCCAAAGTTTGGCATCGAGAAGGAAGTGCGCGTGTGTGAGCCCTGCTTTGAGCAGCTAAACAAGTGAGTTTCCCTGACCAAAGTGCAGGAGTGTCTTTGAATATGAAACTAAAGTGTGTGTCGTCTGGCAGAGATGTTACGAACATGTAGGAAACGTTTTTTTTTTTTTTTTCTCCCCCACATACAAAAAACTCATTAATCTCTAAAATAAGATATGAAAATGTAGGCAAATATTACTTGCAGCTTCAGAGTATGATGACAGCAGTGTTTCCATGTAAACAGTAAACAACCAGCCTTGTTTCTGAGCTTCTGATGAAGCTCAGAAAGCTGTGTGAATGTCACTGACATTTTTTTAACCTTGTTTTATGAAATGAAAAAAAAAATCTATTACACTTTTTTATTAATTTTGGGGCTTTTCCTCAGATTTTTGTGTCAGTAACACCACGTGTAAATGTTGACAATGCACTGTTTCTGAATTCAGTAATACACAGATAATCATGTTTTGAAGTGAACTGTAATCTGTAGATGTCTTTTAACTAATAACTTAATAATTATGTAAATATGTCCTGTTGGTGCTAATTGTTGCTTGTTTTGTGTCTGGAGAGTCATAGGTGTTTGCATCAGCATGCTCTTCCCTGATTCACAAGATTGTTTGTCCTCCCTGAACCCCCTTTCCTTACCAGCCACCCCTCCCTCTCTCCTCCACTTAGGAAAGCCGAAGGTAAAGCCCCCTCCTCGTCCTCCTCCAGCTCGACTGACCTGCCCCCCGAGTATCTGACCAGCCCACTGTCCCAACAGTCTCAGGTATTTACTTTCTTTTGTCTGTGAAATATGTACAAGAGCTTCAAAGTAAATAGATAATTTGTTCTAGTAGCATAATCTTAAACTGATGAGTTCAGAAAAATCCAACCTCTAATTTGAGTAGATTTGTTCAGTGGAGAAAGAAACGCATCTTAAATATTTATTAACGTAATTACTGGTGGTACAATTATTGCTTCTAGTTTATTTCATCTAAAATAAACTGGATAATTTTAAGTGGCCCTGTTTGAGTTGCGTGTGATTATTTAGGTTTTAAGTTGATTCTTAAATTTAGTAAAGAAACGTACAGAGAAGGATCGTTGGCCCAAAGTTTTCCTTGGGATAAATTTGTTCATTTTTTTTTTCAAATGTATATTATACAATTGCATCTACTTCTAACAATGTAGCTATTTATTATAAGTATTAGTCATTAATCACTGATGTGTCATACTTGGTATTTTTGGGGGGTTCTGTGAACTCTTTTTTAATCCATTTTTATTCTGTCTTTATATTTTGAAGTTGATCAACGATTTCAAGAATTTGTAATTAATAATCCTGGCATTTGCCTTTCCCTTGTTTATAAGTACGACACAACACAAAGGCCCACTGCTTTTAGCCATGCGCCCAGGCCGAGATGCAAATTCATCTTGCTGCTAAACACAATGATTAGAATGGCGAAGGAGGTGATAACAGTCTTCAAAATTTACATTACAGTTTTCTCCATAGCGACCAGACACGTCCTCAGGTTGTTTTTTTCAGGCCATACCAGCCACTAGCAACAAGGGGTTAGTGCACAACTGACCAGAAGAAAAATCTTTTTTCTGACCTGCCATTAAAAAAAATAAATGTGTGGGAACTACACATCTCAGTGAGAAGACTTGGCTTTTGGCCACCTAAACTCAGGGCACCTGATGCTCAATGTTAGAAAACTGAATAAAGTCAAAACAAGTTGGCGAAAATGTTTTTCTTTTCTTTTTTTTTTTTTACAAACCAGTAGTACCAATAATTGTGCCACCAGTAAATAAATATTTAGACTCCCTCCCGCCCCCCCAAATTCATGGACTTGATTTCAAGGTTGTATTTTTCTAAATTGTTTGTGAGGTTATGATGCTACAGCAAAAGATAAATTTGTTTCAAGTCTTTTTACATATCTTTACTTGCCATGTAGATAGATTGTGTGACTATATCTTTTCCTTCATCCTTGGATTGTCGAGTTTCTTATCTTTGGGTGTTTTTCTTGCTTCTGTTTCTGACCAGATGCCTCCGAAGAGGGATGAAACAGCTCTGCAGGAGGAGGAGGAGCTGCAGCTGGCCATTGCTCTTTCCCAAAGCGAGGCAGAAGAGAAGGAGAGGATGGTGGGTTAGAGTTACATGCTGAATGAATAGATGATTTAATGCCAGTTTGTCAGATGGAGGAAAAAGAAAAAAAAAACGAACTCATGTGGTCACTTGCAGAGACACAAGAACTCGTACTCGATGTATCCCAAAGCTGATCCTACCCCAGTGACCTCCTCAGCACCTCCAGTCAGCACCCTTTACACTTCTCCGGTGGTAATAACAAACATTAGTGTCATATTCATAAAAAAAAAATGACTGCACGTCACGTACTTTATAAATATGATTCCTTGTGGATCACCTTTAAACATTTGTGTGTTGCAGAACTCCTCTGCTCCATCTGCCGAAGAAGTAGACCCTGAGGTACGTTCACCTTGAATATGAATTAGTTTATTCATATCATCACTGAAGTAGTTGCCACTTTTAAATTTTTAATTGTCTTTTAATTGCAGTTGGCGCGCTACCTGAATAGAACGTACTGGGAAAAGAAGCAGGAAGACGCTCGGAAGAGTCCCACCCCCTCAGCTCCTGCTCCCGTGTCGCTGGCTGAGCCCCTTCCACCAATCAGCCAGCCTGTCGAAAGTCACGTCCCCGTCCAGCCCGTCAGCATAGTCGAGGTACGTCCAGATTTTACACAGACGTCCAGACACGCGTTAAACTGACCTGGGTCTGTTGAAGCATCAGCTCCCCGCTCATGTCTTCTCTGTCGCCGCTTCCTCAGCAACCATACCAGAACGGCGAGTCCGAGGAAAACCACGAGCAGTTTCTCAAGGCTCTGCAGAACGCCGTCACTACGTTCCTCAACCGCATGAAGAGCAACCACATGCGTGGCCGCAGCATTACCAACGACAGCGCCGTGCTGTCCCTCTTCCAGTCCATCAACAACATGCATCCTCAGCTGCTGGACATCCTGAACCAGCTGGACGAAAAGCGATGTGAGTTTCTGCTTTGCGAATGCCTTTCCGTCTTATGTCCAGTCCCTGAACTGTGATGTCCTGGATGTTGTCAGTGTACTACGAGGGGCTGCAGGACAAGTTGGCGCAAGTGCGCGACGCCCGCGCTGCCCTCAACGCGCTCCGTGACGAACACAGGGAGAAGCTCCGCAGAGCTGCAGAGGAGGCAGAGAGGCAAAGGCAGATCCAGCTGGCACAGAAGTTGGAGATCATGAGGCAGAAAAAGCAGGTAATGTTGTTTTTTTCTTTCCACTAATAACAGTTGTGTTGTTGTAATATTCATTACCATTCTAACATGTTTACTTGACCTTCAGGAGTACCTGGAGATGCAGAGGCAGCTGGCCATTCAGCGCCTCCAGGAGCAGGAGAAGGAGAGGCAGATGCGCTTGGAGCAGCAGAAACACACGATCCAGATGAGAGCCCAGATGCCTGCTTTCTCTCTGCCCTACGCCCAGGTACTCATTGCTTCAGTCCAATAAAAGAACACTTCTCCTGACAAACAAATCCACCCTGTTTTTATAAATATTTTTTTATTCTGTTATGCAGATGCAGTCTTTGCCTCCTAATGTCGTTGGAGGGGTGGTATACCAGCCTGGTGGTCCACCCAGCTACCCTGGCACCTTCAGCCCCGCTGGTTCTGTGGAGGGCTCGCCTATGCACAACATGTACATGAATCAGCCAGGGCAGGCTGCACCGGGACAGTACCAGGCCATGCCCCCTGCTCCCACAGGTCTCTAGTTCCACCAGAAAATCTGCTATGTTTACCGTTTGTTACCAGTTAATTCATAAAGACGTGATTCTTTGAAATTATAACACAGTAAATTGTCCGCTGACACCAGCTGCACAGAACATCTCGACCTCTGAACCCAGCAGTGTGATAAATATGTCAACATTGCTTTTATTTTGCTCGTCCACAAGCAGTAGCTGAAACACAGAGTTCCAGCCTCTACCATGGTTATTAAAATGTCTTTAAATGTGCTGTGATAAAGATCTACTTCATATTCCATATGGAAAGGAGTCCTGTCTACACTGAGATCAATTTGTTTCAACTTTAGATGTTTTTTAAACTCGTCATCTAATAATCCAAGAGGAATGTGGAGCATGGCTTTATAAGTAAACTTTATTCTGAAAGGCCATCTTAATCACTTTTTCATTACTGATTTATTTACATTCCTGTTGTGGAGATTATTTTGAAAATATTATAACCCATGACATTCTGAAATGGTTGTTTATGTTTTGGTTATCACCATGTTATAATGACTGCATATTTACATATTGTTGGGAAACTTGCTTTTTTTTTTTTTTTTTTCTAATAATTGTTGAGCTTGACAATCTTCCCTCGTCATGAACCATAAGTGATTTTATGCATATATTTCTTGATGAAAATGACAGTGTGTTAAGGTCAATAATCATACCCACAAAAGTTGTAATATTTTAATGTGTGTAATTATTTTTTTTTCTTTTTTTTTGCCAGATCCCAACATGGTAAATGCATACATGTACCAGCCTGCAGGCACCAACGGACAGCCTCCTCCAGGCCAGGCCCCGCCCACAACCAGCCCACCCTATTCCAACTATCAGCCCACGCCCACACAGGCCTACCAGGTGCGAATGCCTCCATCCGAATGTTTGATCATTTAAAACTAAAACCGGTCCATTTAAAGCGACGACGCCTTACTGTTCTATGTTTGTGTGCAGAATGTGGCCTCCCAAGCCCAAAGCATCCCCCCCATGTCGCAGGCGGCTCCCACCAACGGGATGGCCTACATGAGTTACCAACCGTACAACATGCAGAACATGATCTCAGCGTTGCCAGGGCAGGATCCCAACATGGCCCCACAGCAGCCCTACATGCCGGGACAGCAGCCCATGTACCAGCAGGTCGGTTAAATATTGGTGGATTCTTTACTAAATGCTCATTAACTACAGTTCACTTTTAAATATACTATTTTTCTCCTTTTTTTTTTAATTTTTATTACGTAGCCAACACATACAGTCCTAGTTCTGCTAAAGTGCTTTAAGTGGTCAGTATTGCTGAGACGGTGCTTTTATACTAATGGAGTTCATCATGATGGTGTTAATGTTGTGGATAAAGGATTCAGCGTTGGAGAGCCACAGTTTAGAGTGAGAGCTGAGACAATACCCAAGCTGTTGAACGGTTAAACCAGGAAGTTCCTTCTTCGTGACAAATGGTGGGTTAGTCCCAGTGGTTGGGATGGCCACTTCCCTGTGTGAGAGAATTACATTAAACATGGAGAACAGAAAGAGCAGCCTACCGAGACGCCATCTGTTGGTAGAGAGGGGTCAGAGCAGTGCCAAGAGTTATACAGTGCTTTGCAAAAGTATTCATTTTTTTGTCTTGTTAACACTATAGTTTTTTGGGGGGTGGAGGTGCATTTTATTTGCCTTATAGAGAAATGAAAAGAAAATGGTACGTTATATAAGTAAAACTCTGAAGTGAGTTTGTTTAAACTGTGTCACTGATTTGTAAAAACGCCTTTTGTTGAAATTTTGGCAGCATCTGTTTAGTCTTCTATCTTTGCTCATTTAGAAATATGTTTTTTTTTTATAGCCATTCTTCTTTTCATAGTAGAAAGTGTCTGAATTTTATTTTATTTTGTCTGTTATTTTCATTAATTTGATTCCACTGGATTTTATTTGAGGTCATCAGAGCAAAGAGCTTTCGATGCAGTTGCTAATCACTCTCAGATTTTTACCAATAAATAATGTTAAAGACCTCGTATGCTATTATTAATTCACTTCACACTTATGAACAATTTTATGAAAGGTACTGGATTTATGATGAGATGCTTGTAGCTAATCCAAAACTGGTTTGTCAAAGCGTTTTGTGAAGGCTGCATTTATTGCTGCTGGATGTTAGCCCTTCGGGTCACTTATGCACTTTTTAGGCAGAGTAATTCCTCTGTAGGACTCTAAGGACATTTTAAGGTTAACTATGTGGTTCCTGCAGACCGGTATAATAACAAAGCTCACTCCTGCGACTTCTATTCAGAAACTCCAGGTTATTTTAAGATCTCTTTTCACTAATCATTCTTTTTTTTTTTTTTTACCTTTGTGTTTACGTCTTGATAGGTTGCTCCCCCTGGTGGCCCGCCGCAGCAGCAACAGCAGCCCCAGGCACAACAGCAGGTGCCTCAAGCGGTTCCCGGCAGTGCAGAGGCACAGCTCATCTCCTTCGACTGAAAGCTCCCACACTGCAGAGTTTCACACACTACACCTTCTCTCTTCCTTTAACACCCCTTTCCTGGACTCAGAGGTTTCCCTTTGGAAATATAAACTAAATTCCCACCTTCCACCTTGCTGTGATGTTGTGGCAAAGTGAAATGTTGTGATGATGTTGCAGAACTGTTGCTCTCCTTGCCTCTTCCCCCCCATAAAGTGAGGGAATATGGGGGTAAAGCTGCTACGGAGAGCCCCAAAACCCACGACCCCCATCTTCTGTCATCTTTCGGCTGATGTGTATGTAGTATTTCTTTATTAAACGAATAACTAAAGCGCAAAAATAATAATCAGTGGTGTTCAAGATAACATGAGTAAGAAAATATATTATTTAGAAGACAAAAATAAGACCCGCCTCTTTTGTTTCGTATTTTTCTAAAATAAATCATTAGCACGTTTAATTATTTTCTGCAATGGCAGTGGAATATTACAACCTGTTTTGTCAGCGACTGAGGAAACATCTGTCTGGTGTTAAAGAGGCTGTGGATCAAGCGAGGGGCTGTTTGAGTTGTGAAAGCTGGCCGTCATCTGGTTTTCCAGGTGTCCCTCACGGACAAATTTAGTTCCTTCTATTTTGGGATTTATTTGTTGTGCGCAGTTTGGACTGTGGAGTGTCTGATTATAGTTTCTAAAATCAGTAAATGCATTAAAGGGATGCTATAGAAGTGTTGTCTAACCCTTGTTG